TGCGGTAAGAGCATATGTACCACCTCCAATCAGGTGTTTCAAATGTCAAAAATATGGGCATGTTGCGGCAGTCTGTAAGGGAAAACAGCGATGTGCTAGATGTAGTGGTAACCATGAATATGGACAGTGTGAGCAAGGGGCACATTTAAAGTGCTGTAACTGTGGAGGCGAGCACAGTGCTGGCTTCGGGGGATGTGAGGTACATAGGAACTCTGTAAAAATTCAGAACGTCAGGATGCAAGAGGGAATATCGTATGCCGAGGCTGTTAAAAAGGTGAAACAGAGAGAAGTTGGGCAAGGAAATGGTACAACAGTCCTAATGAACAAGAATAGTAGGCCATCTTCGCAATACAAATTCAATGAAGACTTTCTAAAAGTTGGAAACGTTGAGTTCATGACTTTTCTAGATGAGGTAATAAACTGTGCTGCACAAACTGAAAGCAGAACTGAGAAGATAAAAATCATATGCAAGGAATGCAAGGAGCTTAATCGCTAATCGGCACCACACGTAATATGCATTCAAGAGACATGGTTGAAATCACATTTAGATTTTGTAATACAAGGTTATATAACTATTCGAAGAGATAGACAGACAGGTAATGGTGGAGGGGTGGCAATATTTGTTAAAAATGAAATTTCACATAGGATTATAGAAGTGAGTGATGAATATGAATCAATCATAGTAGAGGTGTTTTTAAGAGGACAGTGTATCACGGTGATTAATTTTTATAATCCTTGCAATAGACTTAGTATGGAAGTGTTAGAAAGTATCTTGAGAATAGGTCATCAAGAAGTGATATGGTGTGGGGATTTTAATGCGCACAGTACTCTTTGGGGAAGTGATAACACTGATCATAATGGTATGATAATAGAAGAAATGCTGGATTTGAAGGGTCTGGTGTGTATGAATGATGGTAGAGCTACTAGAATTGATTTGGCTCGGGGTAGCTGTTCGTATATTGATCTAACAATGGTGTCAGAATGTCTAGCAGGGGTATATACATGGGATGTTTGGGAGGACTCTACGATAGGAAGTGATATTTGTTGTAAAATAGGCATAGATGTTAGTGGAGATTTAGAGGAAAAGATAGGTAGATGGAAATTTAAATCCGCAAATTGGGAAGCATTTAAATATATTACTGATGTTAAAGTTCAAGAGTTGAGCATAAATGAGGAAATGGAGGATGTAGAAAAATATAATGAGAAATTATGTGAAGTATTGTATAGTACAGCTGAAGAGGTTATTGGGAAGAGTAAAGGGGAAAAAAGAAAGAAATCAGTACCGTGGTGGACAGAATTATGTAACAAAGCAATACAAGCCAGAAATAAGGCTTTTAAAAAGGTTAGGAAGACGTTTATATTTGATGACTTTATTTTATATAAAAAAGCACAAGCGAATGTGAGGAGGGTAATTAGAGATGCTAAAAAGAATTACTGGAGAAATTATTGTAATTCTATAGGGGAGGAGGTTAATGTCAGTGAAGTATGGGGTATGTTAAGAAAGATGGGTGGTTTTAAGAGAAATTTTGGAATGCCTGTTTTAAATAATGGGGAAAGAATAGCGGTGACTAATGCTGATAAGGCAGAAATGTTAGCAGAGGTGTTTGTTAAAGTACATGGCAATAATAATAATAATATCAGAAGAAATTAAAATAAATTGAGAACAAGGTATAAAGGAACATCCAAATATTAGGATGGAGAAAGGGCCTTCTAATGAACAACTTGATGTGGAATTCTCACTAAATGAATTAAAGAGAGCTGCTGGAAGAGTCTAATAAAGTGTGGAGATCAGGGAGACTTCCTTCTTCATGGAAACACGGGGTTATTATTCCTATATTAAAGCCAGCCAAGAACAAGCATAATGCTGAAAGTTATAGACCTATAGCATTAGCATCAAATTTGTGTAAATTAATGGAACGTATGATTGTGTGTGTGTAGATTAAACTATATGTTCGAAAGGAAAGAGATTATTTCACCACATCAGAATGGATTCCGTAAAGGACGAAGTACATTAGATGCTGTTTGGCGTCACTACTTGCGATTAGCTTCCCTGTTGTTGGGGCTACGTGGGAACTATCATCTGGAGACGCTGTTGCTTTGTTTTGGTTAACTTTGTTTTTTAATTCCCTTTCGTGGTGTTTTGTTGAAGCCTTGGTGTGTGTGTTCGTTCCTTGGTTTACCAACATTTTCTCTTTCCTTTCTTTTTTTTGTTTCATGTATTGATTGGACGCCTTTATTGTGAAACGTGTGTTGATCGTTGTGAGTGTGCTCAACCTGAGTTTGTCTTAAGTGCGCTCAATTACTTTTTTTGTTGTTGTTGTTGTACTGTTTTTTTAAATTATTTTTTAAAATAGTTATTCTGTAAGTGTTATTCATCACTGTTGTATTGCTATATTGAGTGGCTGTGAGTCTGATGTTTGTGCTCATTGGCTGAGTTTTGTTTTGTGTTTTAGTAGCAATAATAATTTATTATTGTCTTGTTTTGTATTAGTTAGTTATTTTGGTGGATTTAAGTATTTGTAGCTGTTCATTTGAGGGTGGGCAACTCTCCTTATTGTAATCCATCTGTGATGGTGACTGTGTCTTTTCAAATGTATAACCTGATTTCTGTTTGTTACAGGAGCTGAGTGCCTAAGGCAGGGGCGGATTCCTGGTGTTGGGTGTTCCTTTCACGAGTGCTGGCTGGAGTGGTTGTGTGTGTGTGTCACAGGTATAAGTGAAGGGTGTGTAAGAAAAAGTGATGAGGACGTCGAAGATCTTTGATGAAAAATAACTTTTATTACAGAGTAGCAGTGACAAAGTACAAACAGCACTTCGGATTCAGCGGAGTCGAAATGAACCCCGAACATCCTAAGCTCAAACATTTTATACTGTATTACATTCATCTTCCCGCTCAACATGTAAATGAAGTTTCGTTTTAAATGTAAATTACGGATAACAATGAAAGTGATAGCCTTCCGTTCCCACATCTTTGGTAGACTTGCAGGTGGGAACAACCAAATGTTAAGGTGATAAGATTAAACAGAATCCCTAGCAGTTATTTCATGTACCCTTTTGGTCAGCAGATGGTTCTTGATGGCCTGCTGCTGCTCCCGTGCTATAAGTGACAAATTATCGCTCCGGAGGTACTATTTACATATTATTAAGATCGGAAAGAACTATCTCTATGATAATTAAGCTCTTTGTAGGGAAAGGAGCATAGTTTAATACACAATTTGGAGTGGAAGCTGGGTCGAGGCAGACTATAATTTCTTACAGGTGTTTTGCTGTATAGGCCGATTGTGCCCTTATGCCCTGCCTCAGTTCCTGTACCTTGATCCTTGGATGTCCTTGACGACCCAGGTTGCCCACTGTTGTATTTTGTGAAGTGTGTAATTGAGTTTGTTATATGTGAACTGTTGCGTTTAGTGATTGCTCTTCTACCTCCCTCTGTTATGTAATAAACCCTTTTTTAATTGTAATAAAAATTAGTTTGTATATCTATGTCCCCTGCCAATTTATCGTGAGCTGACCTGTGTTGCCTAAAAAGAAATGTATTAATAAAGGTCCCTGGGCTAGACCCAGGGTGGCGTAGTCGTGCTAAATCTCTAATCCTTTACTGCTTCGCCACATTTGGCGTAGTCGGCAGGGTCTCACGGTACTTAGGCGGAGACGTGGTTATCTAGATCTTGTTTTTCTTATGATTGTTGGCTTTTGTTGTTCGTCAGTGTGATTTTGTTTTTTTTCTAGTGTTAAGGCAAAGCAGCAGCGTCTGTCTGGATTGTGGAGAACGTTTTTTCCTATTCCTTTGGGTCTCCTGTCCGTGGTTCCCTATTGGTGTGGTAAGTTGTGATTTAAAAATGGAGGATGAACTTAGAGAACTTAAAGAACTTGTGGCCCAGTTGAGGGCAGACAACGAGAGGCTGCGCCAAGAGCGTACACTTGCGTTGCCTGGTTTCAGTGCGGCATCTTCTAATGTGTCCGATGCAGAGCCTGTTACACCTCATCCAGTCGGTGTAAGTGCTAGCCAGTCAGAAAGATTTGTGTTTGTACCCAGGGATCAGAAATGCCCCAAGTTTAATGGCAAGTCAGGGATTGGCATCAACGAATGGATT